CACGATACCTGAAATATTTTCCACATCTTACACTGACACTGTGCAGCTGATTTTCATGTTTTAGGATTCATTTTTGCAACAATCACACACCTGATCCGGACTTTTCAAACTCTGGTGTGCGGTTTCCTTCTCTGAAATTAGATTTTTTATTTTATATATTTTGGTAAAGTTCAGCTGCATCCATCTTTGCCTTCACCCGATAAACTCACATCAGCACAGAGTCGGTTAGAATACAGCCTGACTGCAGATCATTCAGCAACGGGAGGGCAAATGTTTTGCTCAGAGGCACCTGTACAAACACTGTAAATCCCAGCCTCTGTTTAATGTCACACTTGGAAGCTATTAAAGTGTGCACAAAGGTGGTTTTGAAAGGCAAAGCCCACTAACTTAGCCATCTGCCGCAGAAAACAGCAAAGGAAACTGTGACCCATATGAAAGATTTTGCGAGAGAAGTGCTGAGTAGCATCTGCTCGCTGTGAAAACGCCTTGGGTCCTTCCCATGACATGACAAATTACACTGGGCAGTTTACATTTAATTATCCACTTCAGTGCTCTCACAATGGAGAAGTACAGGAAATGGGGGAAGTCTTTTACATTATCTCCCCCTCGTCTTTTCACCATTTTCACATTGATTTAATGCGGTTATTCCCACTCTGTGTCTGCATGGTAGCGCCAACATTAACAGATGTGACACACGCTCTCATAAGGAGAAGCTTTTTTATCATACACATGAACTTGTTTGATGGTGATAAATCGTGACTATTGTCTGCTGTGGTTAACAGTCTGCCAGATGGGGGGATACAGTATATTTCCTGGGTGTCACAGCTGGCAGTGTTTGCAAAGAAGAGCAGATTCATTTAGTTGGCATTGGCCACCATAACAGAGATCAGAGAGACGACGTTGTGAGGATAAATAAGCCAGCTGTGCGGTGACGGTCGATGTGTTTTTGTGTTGTCACTTTGTCTTCAAGTCATCAACGTCACAGAACAAGCATGTGGGATGCTGTCACTGTGAGGCTGTGTTTAATTCATCGTCTTCTTCTTATAACCCAGATAATTTTTTTTCTTACAAGGTCTATAGTGGTTTCTGTAGAGGTCTTTCAAGTCCGACCAACTGTGGAGCGAGCAGGTTTCTCTTTGATTCCTGGGGAGGTTTCATGAGACCAAAAGATGGGAGTCACCTGCTTTTGATACACCTAAGCACTAGGGTGGTGTGTTTTGGTCCATCAGGTTGGCTGCATGCACCTGCTGGTTTCATTTTTCAGAACACACCACGTTGTCACAGGATCTAGGACTTCCTGTATTGAGAAGTTTATTACCTCCATGAGCTCTGAAAACCTCTGACCTGTTGATTCCAGGCCTGACTCCATTCACTACAGGACTGTTTGTTGGTGTTTTCAGTGACACATGATCTGGCATCAACCTGGGGTGTTTGATTTTGAAAGTTAACAAGTTGTTTTGATATCGTTTCAGTGTTTGTGCTGATTGTGCTCTGATGTTCAGCAGATATGTGTGTGTAGCTGCGGAGGGCTAGGTTTGCACGTTGACTTAAATGAACGGACCAAACACGATTAAGGGATGACTCTGCATGCCCTTATCTGATTAAAACGGATGAATCTGATGTTTATTTAACATGAAACATGAACTTTTCAGTCTGAAACCACTTCTTGTTGGCCTGACATCTCCAGACCAGCCGGCTCATATTCATTTTTTTCTTTTCGTTGTGGTCGTTTTAAATGTTTTCCTATCGGCTGTAGATGTACCGACCCAATCGTAGCTTTTTACAGTAGCAGTTTGAACATCCAGGATGATGTATTTCAATTAAAACAAGACCAAACATCTGACTTTTTTGACTTTTTGTATCAGACTATAGCAGTGTTAAATTCTGCGTTAACATAAAATAAGGATTGTGTAAGTTTCCTCACTTTTCAGAGCCAGTTTGGACCTTCTTTTTATGCACTTCCACATTGCGATCATTTTCAACAATGGTGGCGTCTGCTTGTTAACTACTAAAAACATAAAATAGGCCAAAAAGTTTCATCGTTCATCAACAGTATAATTAATAGACCCAGCAAAGATAAACTCTGTAAACTGTTCAGAAATTACTATTTAAAAAGATCACATTTCAGGCTGGAGAAGTTAGGTGGATCAAATAAAGTTCAACAGATTGTTAAAATTAAGAGTTTGTTTGGTTGAATTTCAGTCTCACCTGCCCGTAGATAAAATACAAAACAAATTTAATCATTTACTCTCCCATTAATGAAGCAAAATCAGAGTGCAAGAACTTCAGGGTGTTAAAAACAAACTTCAGTGGATTATTTGGTGTATAAGTCATTATTCTTGCAGATTAGAAAAACACACACGATTCATCTCATCTTTTTCATTTCTTAGTCACTGAAATACATCTTGGTGCCATCAGATGCCACTAAATGAGAAGTCCTGCTCATCTTCTTCACCATCTTGTATCTTCTTCCTTGCAAACCTTCGTCTCCAGCGTATGTAAGGGCAGTAACTTCAAAAAGCCTTTCATCAGCGTTATTGTGGAGACTTCTCAGAGCACCTTCCATTTATTTCAGCGCGAACATGCTTTTTTAGAAGATAAATCACAAATCTAGGTCAGCATACATCTCATTACTTTTGATACTATAGCTACAATAGGGTTGCACAGAAGGATTCAAAGAGCTGCACAATAGCAGGAAGTCGACTGCAATATGTTCCCAAAGACAGAAGGTGAGTCACAGCGGGCGCTTCCACCGTTGCCCGGGATTTAGGTCAGCCAAGTAACTCCAGGCGGCACAGGTCCTTCCCCGAGGTCACAGTGCAGCCTGAATCTGGACCAAGGATAGCAACGGGGGGCCCCGGGGGGCATGATGGGACATTAATTTTTAATGTAAACTAACCCATCTCTAGTTGTGGGCGAAAGGTGATGAGCAGTGTACTTGACACTACTGAACATGTACTCGTGCGAGCGTTGTGGTGGAGCTGGTTGGTTTTTATATTCCTTGTTTTATAATTCATTCCTCGAGCTGCAGAGGAGAGGAGAGGAGACAAACACATTGAGCTTTTATCCAATGAAAACTGAGGCTTGTTGAACAGCTCAGAGGCTGCACGGTGCTTAAGTAACAATATTTACTGGGTCCCTGGAGTGAGAGAGGTAAACGGATAATACCTGTTGACGGAGGATAAAAAGGAAAGAGTCAGAATGGGGACAAGATTGTCTATTTTCAACTGGGAGGAATGGAAAATGTCTCCTTTATTTATTAGTGCAACAAATTTATGTGTGCACGAGTGTAATTCTGTCACACACAGACTTACAAACATAGATTAATGAGTGACAGATTAATTCAGTTCTGGGAAAATGAGCATCCGAGTTCAGGATAATGTAATTAAAGGGACATAATTCAGAACTCTTCATGTTTGAGCACCAGATCTGCTGCGAGGTCTCTCCGTCTGCATGTCTTCCTGCTGTGGTGATTACAATGGCCTGCATGTACCTGCTCAGAGCCTTCTCTTTTGTTTGCCGAGTACAATTTGAGAAGCACTTAACCGTCTCGGATAATTTGTTAAAAAAACAACTTCAGTTTCAGAAGGAGCTTTCTGCTTTTCAGAAGCAGCCAAAAAAGCCTCACTGGAGACAAAGACTGAGCTTGAAAATGATTCCCATTATCAGCCAATATTTCATGTACATATATAAATAGAACTTAATTATATAAGGCTAGTTTTATCAGCTAAGAGCACTTATCTGCTTAGAAATGTTTGAGCTTCTGTCTGGATAATTGTGATTACGTATTCTTCTAACTATTATTTTGAGCTCCCTATATGCATAACTTTTAAAAAGTTTAAGCTAGGAGCATTTTATTTAAACTTAAACTCAACTTTTAGTTCTTACATTTACGATTAGACTTGTGATGTGGAATCTGTTGACCTGTAGCTATTGGTAAAGTGGGATGATGGTACATTAGACGTCCTTTTAAAGCTTCTGTGAGGAGTTTTAAGCTACCGTATTTTTCGGACAATAGGGCGCACTTATAATCCTTAAATTTTCTCAAAAATTGACAGTTTGACTTATAATCCAGCGCGCCTTATGTATGATTACTTGTTGTGCTTACTGACCAATTTCATGTGGTACAATGCGCTCAAAAATCTGTCGAAATGTTTTAGTACGACTTTGGTAACCAACAAAGCCGCTACGGTACACTGTGTCACCACAGACATGTGTAGACATCTCAAAGCCCGACTCTACCTATTGGAGCTCGCGTATCAGTGTAGCCGCCACTTGGATGGGTTCCCCATACGCCCTCAGTGCATTAAGGTAGGTAGGAATACCCAACCATATTATTAATAACTCTCCATATCTCTGCCTGATTTTCACACTGTTTGGTTTGTTTCAACGGCAGGGATGTAGCCATAATACAGGACAATATCAAACAATTAAACCAAATTATTTTTCAATCCTATTTGGGAAATGTAATCTTACGTGATCTGGTTTCAATACTGCGTCAGGTTTTTCAACCATAGAGTGCAAAAAAACAGGCATAGTTGCTCGTTCTCCATTGACCCCATTTGGCTCTTGAGCGAACCTGGAGTGGGGAGACCCATCCAACATGGCGGCGACGCTTGATTACACTCCAGCATGTAACGAAGCGTGTACGTATATGATGTCTATGTGTGTCACTACCTGATCGGCCCCGTAAGAGGACCCCTGAGCAGTCTACAAGACTGCCTGACTGTAATGTCTAAACTAGAAGTGCATTCATGTAAGGCAGCCTGGGCCCGGAGTACGCGCTAGCAACAATAAACCAATCAATGCGCCAATGCTAAATGCACCTTACAATCCGGTGTGCCTTATCGCCCATAAAATACAGTAGTTATGAAATGAACTGAAATTCATATTGATGCGTCTTTATGTGCTACAAATGCAAAGAAAACCACAAGGTTAAACATTGACTGTTTCTACATGGTCATTTTCATCACCTGAAACAATTGTCAGTGTTTTTTATGCTCTGTTTTGTCCTGCTTTGCTCAGGCGTCACCAAAATCACAACCCGAGAGTTCCTCAAACACAGAGCTCCGAAGCTGATCCTGATGTATATTTTTGTAAACGTCCAACATGTTTGGTTTCTTTGAAGAGAAGAGGAAACAGGAGAGATCACAAACAATGACAGAGCAGTGAAACACCACATGAGCTCATTAGCAGCAGCAACAAAGCACTTTTAAGTTTTGTGAAGTTTGCACAGAGCTGTCATTTGCAGCTAAAACCTGAATCTCTTCTGTAACTTCTTCCATTATCAGACCATCATAACTCTGCAGAGTCCTCCTGACTGTGACCTTACTAAACTCAGGGAGCCGTCTCCAATTCAGACAGCCATGTTCATAAATGTAGGTTACATTAATGACATTTGACCAGTTAAACTGACCCACATAGAAAATACCAATCTATATTAATGTCTTCTACTCCATTTTCCAATATATATTAATGTAGGGTATAAATTTCTGTGGTTATTTGGGTAGACGTTTCACTGGCATTCTCCCCCATTAAATGGAGCTCCTCTTAATTATTCATCATCCTTTCAGCAAATGATGCACGGCAGAAAATGCTGACTCAATTATTTGTTTTGCTCTTTATCTGTTAGAGGGCATGGTGATGCTTTAGTGTTGAGTCATTACAAACATGCACTTCTCTTTCGTGTTAAGTGCAAACAGCCACTATGCTTAAATTTAGCGTAAATGTGACTGTTGAGGGTATTCTCTCTCCTTCCCAGAGCTTTAGTGATGGGAGCTGCAGCTTAAGCACTCATGTTTCTTAAGAGTAAACATGTCAGTGTGCATTAGAGGTATGATTGCCTCTGCATGTCTGCATGATCTGTGAATCTACCTGCTGCTATCACTCACTCAACCTGCAGAACATGAAGTACTGCAGCGGTGGATCTTGTGCTTGTGCAAAAAGGCCAATTTTGAATTCTCTCTCCCAAAGTGGGACTCATCCAATAAATGTTTCATTATTTATAAGCATAAATCGCTTTAAGTGAGAAGTTTATCTCAGCGAGATTTTGGAAAAGTCTCCCAGAAAACCCCCCAGAAAGCAGCATTTGCCTCATTAGCAGCAAAGATTTCCATTGATCATCTCTTCAAATCTGCTTGTCACAGTCTTGCATTGATTGCATTTTGTTGCACGCAACAAAATACCCACAGCTGGGGACATGGTGGGAATTTCAAGCCTCTACACTGGAAGCCTTGTTTGTGATAACTTGGTTTAATCTGTAATGCAGTGATTAGATAAGGCAGTTTTGATTACAATCAAGTATTCACCCAGGACGTGGAATCAGCCAAGTTAAACTGCTCCTACAGAAATTGATAACATTTACTCCATGATGTACTGTAGCATTTTATTCTTATACCTCCTCCAGGATCTATTTATCCACAGCACTAATGGCGATTAAATGACTGAGACGCTTGTTATGTTTTGTTTGTGGGGTCCTGAGTGAGACTTAAATGAGGTAATGAGACAATCAGATGAGGAGGCGACGTGTTAAAGCGTTGGATGATGTGTTGAACGTATGCAAAGGCTCTGGCAAACACTGCAGGTATATTATCCAGCAGACTCATCTTTGCAAATGCTTTTTTTTTTATTTTTCCGGGAACAGGGCCGCGCTCTCTCTTACTTTATTTCACTTTCTGCTTTTAACTCCCAAAGTTTGTGTGCCCTCGTTCTCCAAAAATGCTCCTATGCTTCATCTGGAAACATATTTGAACAGCGGCTGTATAATATTTGCAGTTGAATAAATCCACGCTCCTGTGGCCCAGTAATAAGTAAAAGAAAGCGGAAAGTTTTTCCTAATGCTTCATGCAGTTCCTGGGAATAATATGATGGAGCAGCACAACTGAATATGGGTTAATTATGTATTTAGAATTCAGTCGTAGGATAAAAAGTTCACCCCAGTTCTTTTTTTTCCAAGTCCTGAATGGGTGCTGAAGAAGTGTGGCAGGTAGCTTAACCAAAGTCTGTGGATAAGCAGCGACTGGGAGATGTCTGAGTGTAGGATGTGTGCCGATACCGCCTCGGATTATACCACAAGCTCATTTCCATGCACACTCTAGCAGAAGCAGCGGGAGCAGCACAGTGTGCCTGATAGAGAGGAAACTGAGCCAGACAGAGGCTGCACATTATAACACGGGCTGCATAAATGTCGCATATAAAGATGGAAATCGATTGGGACCCTGGCCAAACCTTTGCACCCGTCTCACCACAAACAGCAGACACGTTTCAGTCTGCAGAGCTGACTGTTAGATCATAGTAAAGTCTCATTTCAGATCAGTGTTTGTGTGCTGACACTGATAAGATCTCTATAGAAAGACAAAAATCAGGATGCTGAGGTGATAAAATCATCGGATTATTCAGGAAAATAGTTTTTCCTCATGAATGGCATAACATGCATCACTTAGAATCTACTATCTGTGTACTGTATTATTTTTGGCAGATATGTGCTCTTGGTATTTGAAGTTTGATGGAGGGATTGATGCATGAATTAACAAGCATTTATCAAAGAACACAGTCAGCTTAAACAAAGAAGTTTCTATTATGGATTTCATATTTGTAGTCTCTCAATAGGCAGGACAGTTTAGCACTACTATATTAAGGAGGCCCCCTGCTTGCAATGTTGACATGTAGTTACAGTAAGACTGGTTTGTGCTCAAGTCCTCTTTTTTCTGTGCAGCTCAGTTTTTAAAGTTATTAGGGGGTTCATGTTTTCTATGATTGACACTTGATACAGTCTACGGCCGTATGAAGATTGCGTAGTTCAGCAGGGGGAGTCACTGTTTGAGCCGAGCGTCATCATAGTGACTCTCAGTGACTCTACTGCCAAATGCATTCAACACTACTGTGCAAGTGGTGGTTCCAGGAAGTGGAGACAATCCTGGAATACCGAGAGCAATTTGGCTTCAAATTCACATAACGACAGAAGGCGGAGCCAAGTTGTCCATAGTACATAGAGTCTATGGTTGCAGCTGGGAAACAAACATGCAAAAGGACTCCAGCCTTAAAACACAGCATCCTTGTTTTTCAAAAGGAATATAAAATTGTAGTTTGGCAGATTGTAGAAGTATATAGGTTCCTTTTGTAGATGGTACTCCTCTAGTCTTCATTTGTGGATGCAGTACTAAGCTGTATTCACAGATAAAGGTTCTTAGAAGTGATTTTGAGGTCTTGTAGTAAATTCCACGACAGAGTAAGTCTTTTTTTTATTCCTATGCTGCCTGTTATTTGGCCTTGTCCCTTTTATACAGAGATTTCTCTAGATCCTCTAAATCTTTTCACATTGTAATGTGGTGTAGATGATAAAATCCACAAACTCTTTGCGATGTTATGCTTAACTATTTGCTTATGTAGTCTCTCAAACATCTCATTCAGCGCTTTGCTGTTCCTGTCCAAACCTCTTTGGAAGCTCTTCATGATCAAATTAAAAATGAGCACACTGTTTCTCACAAAGCAATAAAAGGATGTAGTCCCAATATTTCATATGCTGCCTTTGCACTATTTTCAGTTAAACACAGGGTTTAAAAGATTTGCCAGCCAACAAATTCCTTTTCTATTAACATTTTGCAAAACGTTCCAGCGTCTTTGGGATTGGGTTTATACATCCGCTAAAATGAATATGTCTTTTGGATTCCAAATTACATACAGACAAAAATATTTTACAGTCATGTGCCAGGTTTAAATGGCCGTATTGTTATGGTGGTTGCATCTTCATAAAGAAAAGCAGAAAAGTAATTTTAGACAAAGCCGATGGAAGAGGAAGTCGGTGTAAAAAGCGCTCACCGCAGAAGACCCGAAAAAGCATTAATGGGAGATTTTTGGGCCATTTCTCTAAATGCAGATGGCCGTCAGTCTGGAGAAAATAAAAGACCGCATTTACGATCCAGTGTCTGTCGCGGACTGTTTCACGCCATGGTGGTGGTCCTGTAATGGCATGGACAGCCATCTCATGAGAGACAATAGGTCCCCAGAATGCAATGCATTTTGAGCAGCTACCAGGGAACACGAGGCCACGAGAATATGAGACCAGCTGTAAGCTATGATGCAAACAGTGTTTCCTCATTATGTTCACATGTTTGAGGACGCTAACACCCCCCAGCACAGTGTTAAACAAATACAACAACACTAGGATGGAGTTAAATATCTATTTACACCTCAGATATTATAAGCATCGTTAATCTTTGATGTGAGTGCAGCATGTGAGGCAGATTTATTTTCTCTCTTTCCTGATCCAAAATTTATTGAACCTTTCAGTCTGGGGGATTTGTCTAGTCTCTCTAAACACACAGTTTTTAAAGTAAACCTGTGATGAAAGTGAAGGATTGCCGTAATCCTTCTCAGATATTTGATATTCATATATTGTTGGGTTTTCCCATCATCTCTCTTTCTCTCTGCTGTCAGCTCGGCTCCATCTTTACAGCGTCCTTTGTGTAGAGCCTCAGGAAGTTACAGGAGGTGGATTTTCATTACATTTTCAATGTAGGGTTAGGGGCAAACAGCTATCAAATGTTATTGTCTTAAGTAGCCTCTTACATTAATGTGTTGGTCTGATTGATTCTGGATCAGGTTGTGTGATGTTAATGCATTTTAAAAGTCCATTTTAAACCGTTATTGGGTTGTCTGTTGAGAAGTCAATGGCTGAAAAGGAATTAATGTATTTCACTCTCAGGTATGTTGTTTATATCCAGGAAAACCACATTTGAGTATGTTTTACCAACAAAACATTCACGAGCAGATAAGAAAACTTAGAAACACACGCAACTGTAACTTGTCGGCTAAATATCTGGCTGAAGGTTTAGGTTTGAACACCAAAATACACAGGGACATCTGCTTTGTAAAAGGTAACTTGGCTGTGATGGTTTTTACATCCTCTAAGATGAAGAGATACTGAGCAAAAAAAAACACAAATGAATTATTTTCAATTTTGGAAAGCTAACCGGCTAACCAAAAATGTTTAATACCCACTGGAATCCGTCCTGATTCGTTTATAAAAATCCTTAAAATTGTCCTTGCAGCTACGATCAACAGCGCCTTGGACTAAGACTGAATCACAAGCAGTGTTAGCTGTGCCGAGTTATGCGAGGTGCTCTAATTCTAACTTCAGTTACTGTGAAACTCCATGCAAAGTGAACTGTCTGCAACTCGAAATACCTCTCAAGTCCACCTGGATTGTAGTCTATGGTTCACAATCTCAGGAGTTAATAATGCTCACATTCACAGCTTTCAAAATGACCCGTGCAATTCGCTGCACATGAAACTGTCAGAAACTTAAAGCCCCTGGTAGAGTCCTGGTTTAGCTTCGGCATTAACTCACATACTTGGCTAACCCTATCCCGACGATCCTTTGTCACATCTTCCCCAACTCTCAACCCCTTTCCCTTTTCTACCCCTCTCAGAATTGCCACAAAATCTACTTTTTTTGGAGGGCTGAAGTCCTCAAAGTGGTCGACTTTAACCACATCATTCTCCTCTTTTTCTTCCAAGTTTTCTACTCTTTTCATCTAAACAGTAATCACAGAAAAAGAAAAACTGAGCCATTGCAATCCTGCTACAAACAACTCAGCCTGGCCTGCCTGTAGCTGGACAGATCACAATTCATCAGTCCCTTTACTGGGGGAGAAAAAGAATAAACCCAACGAAATAAGAATATTAAAAAGTTTTTGTTTAAGAACTTCCACTGAGATGCATTTTAAACTTTAGCTTCAGGTACATCAAATTCATATTCAGACACCCTTTCCATTTGTTTTTATGATATCTTATCCCAGTTCAAGATAAAAACTCCTAAAACATTGCAAGAAAAATGTGCAGGTGAGTAAGATTAAACTAGCCGACAGAAAAAAACTGAAAGCTGGAGGGTGTTTGGCCTTAGAGCTGATAGAACCGGCTCCCAGCCTTTCAGTCTTCCCCGTTATATTACATGCAGTGATAATGGCTGCCAACAGGTAAAGAAAATATTGTGTGAAAAAAACAATTCCATCAAAAACCTCAGTTCAGCTCAATGAAGCCGAATGATCCCTCTCAAGCTCGGCTGGATAAAGTCAAACGTCTTGGTTGTAGACATCAATCCTGTTTATGGCTGTTAGGCTGGAGGATGTTTTCTCGCTCTGCTGTTCAACACAGCCCCTCACAGCCAATGCTTCCAAAAGGACAGCGCACAAACAGTTATTCTCAAGCTCGGGGCAATACAGCTGTCCGCTGCAGCCGAGCGTCCATTTATGATTGATGTACACGATCAATCCAAGTTGATGCCGCTCAGTGTATACCCGCGTTAAATATCAGGCTTGATGATAAACAAGTATTTTCGGGAAAAAGGCAAACATGAGATGACAAATACGTGCGCTATGAAGCAGAGAAAAACACACACATGCCACAAACATTCACATCCTGGGATTAGGGGACTATTTGGCATCCATCTTTATTTGCAAAACAAAATTCTAATGCTGTGTTCCTGACATAGATGATGACTGTGTCCATTTGCTGCTTGGACAACCAAAGAAAATGATGCATGATCCTGCTGGTAAGCTGTTTTGAAACGGGTCAGCTGAACCCTGGCTGCGTGCCCTGAATTGAACCTCCTCTCCAGAGGTTGCAGGTGGATTATTCCAGATGTGTACAGCCCGAGCTCATCTTTGCACGGTGAAAAGGCCAAAGCTCTATCTCACCGGGTAAGCCAAAGCTGCAGGCTCCATCAAAGCGAATGAGCTCCCGTTCTATTTCATGATCTGCGCCGTGAGAATAAAAGCCGAAGGTTCTCCTTGTTGGAATCTGCATTAACAAGCTTCGGGAGCGAGGGAGCAGTGTGGGCAGAGAGCTCAGCATGTACTATGAGGCTTGTGAACGTCTCGTAAGAAGCGTCAGTGCATTGAAATCAGGGATGTGCACTTTTGATTGACCAGTAATTTTACGTTTTGTGGGTGGATTTCATGGTTGAGCTCTGGGCTGTGCAAGGAGAAATACAAGCATGCAAGGAATATAGGCTCATGAAAAGTTTTTAACTGACCAAAATAAAGCACATTTCATTTGTGTACTGCCAGCGCTGCTTGAAATTAACTTCTTGGCTCACTGGGTAGTGCTGTGAGAGAATTCTTTCACTTGAACACAGCTCAGAAATTTGTCCAGACGAGCATTTTTTTTCCTTAAACAACTATCCAACCTGCAAAATGCTTTGACGGCTGCAGCACATTAGGTTTAAACAATCTAATTATTAGCTTATTCCCAACCTGCAATTAAAACTTCAGTATGATTATAACCTCCCAATAAACATCTGTTTTAAAGCCCCTGCTTGTCTGTCTACATGTGCTTCTTATAAATGTGTACACCTGAGGCTAGAGCGCACTCTGGCTCTGAAGTAGACATCTTAAAAATTTATAGTGCTGTGAGAATTGTAGTTATTTATTTAGAATATCATTCTGACTCTGTAGTCATATCATATAAAGAGGCAGAGGAGTGGCTCAGTGTGTGCTGAATCAAATGAGGATCAAATCTACACGAGACTGAGCTGATTAGCTGCAGGTTATTAGAGCCAGCTGTCACTTCATGTATGGAAACATACTGTATCTATCCATGAAGGCTGTGCAAAGACGTCATATCTGCATCTGCATCTGTGTTCAGGTAGACACAGGGAATTATTGATATGACGAACATGGGTTAGAACTGGGAAGCTGGGACCGCATGCAGCAAATAGATACAGTATGAATACAATTTTAAAAAGTATCAAATGAATACAGTTATTTGTAGATGCAGTTAAAAAGGGAGAGCATACTCTGAATCCCCAAAAAGAGGACACGACTACAAAGGGGCGGAGTCACATAGTCATGCGTAGTTAATTTTGAGAGTCTTTTGGGTCGGATTGAGTGATTTTACGTGCTTCTCACTCAGTAGATCCATGCGACACAAACTCATGGACATGTCCGGGTTAACGAGGATGTATGGTCACCCTAGGTGAAAATCCCACTCCATCTGTTTTTTTTTTACTACCCAAGTGTTCCCAGTCATCTTCAAATTGTTATTATGAAGTTTTTAGCCAAAATCAAGTTACTTGTCATTTTCAAGGACCTTTATTCTGCAGAGCTCCAGTAGCTCAGTAGCAGTTCGCCTCTGAGTCTTGGGCGGAGACAGCGCTGCTCTGCACACTGGCCTTCACACTAGCTTGCAGCCTAACATTGCCGCTGTAGTAGAGGTAGCAGGTAACATAGGAGCTATTCAGCTCTCAGACTAAGGTGACCAGATTTCTGTAATGAAATCCAGGAACATCTGAGAACATCCAGGGGGTGGGGAATGCTAAGCAAAATTTGATTTCAGGCCCTCTATTTCTGGAGAGCAGCTGCTGGATCACAGACACATCTCTGTACTACTTAACAGCAGCGCATGCCCCCCGTAATAACCCCCAGTAAAAACTGTTGTTCAGAACTGTGCACAACATGCTTACTCGTGCTTCCTACTTACTCGGCAACAGTAATAACCGTTGTTGTAGTCTACATGCAACATTTTTGTTCTCATTCATGAAACACTTAAATCAGAAACATTTCCAGGGACTGCTTTAGCTGGGGACAGGTCATCCAGTACGGGGACTGTCCCCGGAAATCAGGGACGTCTGGTCACCTTATCTCAGACACCAATGTCTGACGTAAGGTGTCAATGATGAAAGCTAATATCATACTTAGCTTTCTTACGAGCATTGCAATCTGCTAACGCTCACGCTTATTCCGCGACTGTCCTCTCTACTTTTTCTAGTGTGACCTTCATAGCGGGCCTACGAGGGTGGAGCTTGGATTTGCTACGTAGGAAATCTCACCGTATCTGAGCTTGCCGTTTGGGTCTGCCAGAGATTCACAGTGATTTGACTGCAGAAATACTTAAAAATCCAATTTCGCTCTGATTTTTCTCATGATATGTCCCGTAGCATTAGAAAAATTCACATATAAACATGTAGACAAGAAAAACATGATTTTCATCAGAGTGGGTCTTGAAATACACTGTCACAGTCTAGTGAGGTTGAGTTGCAGCCGCAGTAATGGCCACTATGCAAGATGGTGCCACAAACAATCTGTATCTCATCCATATCTTCAGTCATCAGGTTCCAAGCTCAGTTTCAAAGTAAAGTTTGCAGAGTTTTGAAAGAAACACAACGCTCCACTGCCAAACTACTAATGCTGCCTCCTCCAAAGTAAGATGTGTGACACTGGGCGACTACATCGGTATGCAGCCCGCTGCCTGAGAGAAGAGAGAAGAGGTCAACAATATTTAACTTATGACTTTGATGTTATGGACTAAATTAAAATGTTATTTTTTAAATGGAGGAAATGAACTCATGCAAAGTTTCTCAGATTGTGATTCAAGCTAAAGAGGTTTGACTGAAGCCTCTGCATGATTCCAGTGGGGAAGAAACGGACGGAGCTGGAGCACATGTGTTGTCAGTGAAGGGCATAGCACAAAAGTAGACTTTGCTTTTGAATTTTCAGATAATAACAAAATTATTTGTGTTAAAAACATCAATATCCATCATCTTAACTTTGCCTTTGGATTCAAGCTAATTCCTACCAACAATACTAGGCTATTGTATGTCAAAGGAAGGGAGGTACTTCATAAATGCATGTTTGAATTGCAAAAAGAAAGAAAGAAAGAAAAATATGATTAAAATCAAATCAAAGTATAGCGCTATAATTTCAAAAGGAATAAGAATGAATGTATAGAGCTCTGTCCTCTCTTCTTTCTCATAAATGCCGTCTGAAGTGTCCTCCTGTCTGCCCATAAATTACATTTGCAGAAATGAACTCTCCCTTCCTTTCCTAAGAGTTTGATTTCCTGTCGTGATTGTGGTCACGCAGGGTTCATAACAGCAGGAACCCTCAATTGTTGAAAAACATTAATTTCCAAGAACTCTTATCATACTAAACAGTTTCTTATCTGCTGAGGAACAGCGTAGGGTGATCAAACCTTTGCGGTTTTCAGATGACCCCAACTTTTATCTTGACAGTGAATCCAACTTGATATCTGGCAGGCAATTACCACTGAACTTAAACTCTGATCTGAGGTTACGGCTGAATGTCACGCCCCTGCAGAATGCGGGGGAAGAATCACAAGAGTGAAAGTGGGGATGTTTCCTCCGTGAAAACTGTAGTTGAAAGAACAGAGAGTGGGAGTATAGAACATTATCACACTTTTCAGTCACTATAACTTGTACAGAATGTACCAGAAATATTAAAATGCAAAACATTATAATGATGCTGAGGAGAAACCAGAGTCTCTGTTTGTTCATAGGTGCAACATGTGCTTTACTAAACTCATCCCAAAATGGAGCCAAACCTGAGAGCTAGTGTAGCTGCTAATTCTGCATTCTGTATAATCTGTGAGATTTCTGTGGCTGAATTTACAAAGCTCCCAAACTGAGGGTGCTTACCAGCTGCAGAAGAGTTAGGTGTTCATGTTGGCATGCGTGTCTCAAGTCTCATGTCTTCCTCATGTGCCAGAAATCAAGAAAATATGTTTCTTTTCTGGGAGCCATGTGCAAAGTGATTTTATTCTGAAGTTGTGTCAGGGCCGGTATTTGGTAAAAGAAGTGACTTAAATGTCACCGAGCCTCCTCAATGTCAGCAGATGGGACACGGTTTATAATAGAAAACTTAGTCTAATCCATCAGAGGAGAAAAAGGTTAAGTATACTCTATGTACCAGTCTGGGCATTTCCATATTTTAAGGCAATATGAGGAGCAGACTTCAGCTGATACTGATGCTTATCAATGTCCTTCAAAAGTAAAGACACCTTGAGCAACAAGACTAATAATTTCTATGTTGTTACAAAAAAGTTTACAGCCGGAGGAGATGGAGGCAAGTTTAGGGTGACCATGTGTCCTCTTTCAGCTGGATATGTCCTCTTTTGGGGGGGATGTCCGGCCTTGTCTTAGGGAGTTTATAAAATCCTTCAAATGTCCAGGGGTTTTTAATGGAAGTTTTGAGCTTGTGTCGTGTGGAATTAAGGAGTTAGAAGCGCATACCTCCGTGGCTCCGCTCCTAGGTAGTCATGTCCTCTCTTAGTGGATGAAAACAATTTACCTAGGATGACCATATTCTTAATCCCCAAACAGTCTATCTAAGTATGTTATTACAGCCAAGTTACTCATACTGATGATATACCTGATCTATCTATAGGGGGAAACAACCCTGAGTGGGATGCTTCCCCAACAACATCTGTAGTAGACATGGAAAATATTGCGTGGCTTGACAGAGAATCAACTGATCAAGTTTGCAGATCAGAGAAAAATATCCTTGCAGAAAAAAGTCTGAAGGATTTATCGGTTTAACCTCATAAAAAAGAGATTTCTGAAAACCCTCATTGTACCGATTATGACTTGGTAATGTGCTCTTCTTTCTCCATCCAGTTTCATCAAAAGGTGATTATCATGGTTCTAACTAAGCACGGGTATCTACTCCAATTCAAGATAGGGGGGAAAAAACAAGATAAAAACCAAATAATATATACCAGAACAGGGTCAGGGAGACGGCTTAATGGGTGTCACGGTGTCTGCCGAAAGAAAGGCTCTGCTGATGTGGATGATCGGTCTTATGACAATGATAGATGGTGTTTCCTGGAGCCTTGCGGGGTCCTGCTGTGCTGCCAGTGACACTTGGGAGTCGCACTAAATGCCTGTGCCCGTGTCACAGACCTACACTGAAAGCCTGGGGGGGATGTAGGCGAGATAATCCACTGACACACATCCCATCAAAACTTTTACAGCATTGGGCAGCCGAGAGTGACAACAGCTTGTGAGGGACACTGTGGTTAGTCCGTCAACAGCTTTTCCTTTTAACCGAACATATTGAAGTGCCAAGTGGATGGAGTGGTGGAATTTCTTTTTGCAGGAGATGTTGTGATTGCACATTTTCTCTTTCGAATTGGCTTCTTGAGAGCAGTTTCGCACTCCAAAACCATTGGGGCTTTCTTTACTTTATATTCTTTGTGTTTAAATTCTATTTCGATTAATTACAATATGTATAAAAGCAAATCATAGGCGCCGCGACTGTCCAATGTTTCCCCAAGCTGCTGATTTAAGAAAGCGTTCTGTTCGTCTAAAGCCATGTATCACAGGATAATAGCTGCTTTAACCTTATAATATACTTAATAAAAATCTTAATTGGTACTTATGATACAAGTTTCCCCCTATAATGAGTTTTAATCAAAGTTTCCCATCCTTGTCAAAACCTGTAAAGGCCCCAATTAAAAAGAGGAGGTTTGCTGAAGGGAGATGCTCTAAACTCATTTGGATGTCAAAGAGACCTTCAGCTGTGGCAGACACAATAGCGGGCAGAGTAATATGAGCCCACAGACGAAAGATGGATCTTCCTTCGAGTGAAATTTCACAATTATTAGGGTACATATCTCTGCTCTCCATTTCAACCAGGGGCCAATCTTTGGGCGGCATTTCATTATAAGGACAGGGATTGTCAGCGTAATGAATTCATCAATGGCGCTAAGATAAATGGCTCAACAAGTAATAGATAGGGCCCATCTTCCTGATCTGATGTGGGAAACTGTCTCTCAAATATATTGTCTTATTAGAAAAAGAGACAGCTATTTGGACACGGCGACCACATGAACATCTTTTTCCATTTAGCATGTTTGAAATATTAATGGCAACATGATTTGACCTATTCTGGAAACACGTCGCGTGGAATGATGGAGTTAGCCCATTCGCACAGACACGACCTCTGATCTTACTCTAGCTCTCATGAGGAATATGAGGAGCTCCGCAGAAAAACAGGGTAATCCTGTTTTTACATCCTCTCAAAACTCGTCCAAATTCTCTTTGAAAAATGCAAGTATAAAGTTTTATTTCTCTGTGCATTTCCAGCCAAAACACTGAACTACTTTTCAGCTACTAAAGCAGTTTTTAACTCAAAAATTACAGGAAGTCATCTGTGGCAAGAGTCCGGCATTATGAAATCATACTAAAAAAGTATACAACATTTAATATTTAAAGTTGAGCTTCAGACTCAATCAGAAACAACAACATATCAGCTCAGCCTCGCTTTGAGTGTTGCTCCATATCACAGTTCCTCTAGGAATAGTTCTTAAAAATATGTTTATTTTCCTCCTTTGCAAAAAATTAGATGAGAAGACTGATGTTTCTTTTATGTCTGTCCATCTTGTGTAAGCTGGCTAGCTTTAGCATGGAGACTGGGTGCAATGAAAAGGCTGATGCTATATTGTCAGTGGCATTTTCTGCTCACCAGTTTCTTTTTATTTTTCCAATATATACAAAAAACAATAATTCAAAAATAAAATGTTATAATTGCTCCAGAGTAATTATGCTAAGCAACCTTAGTGACTTCATATTTACATGCATTTATTTTCAAGGGGGCTATCCACATTTTGAAATATCCATATATCACATTAGGTGTTGCAACATATATGTTATTTTAGGTATAGGATGTCAAATTTTGGCTGATAATATGATTTGAATATAGCATAAGCATTAGGTAATTTCAACACAGAGTGACTGAGCTTGTTTTTAAAGGTGTTAATTAACGTTAATAAGGTGTCTAACATGTAAAAATAAGAAAAGCAGGTTAGCTATGCTTTGTGATCATAGACTGTACGATAAATAGACGTAGCGTGGTGATCTCACTGGTTTGTTAGTGAAGTGGAGTTTTGAAGCGTATTGGTGTCCGCCACCATATCGGCTAACTTGCCACAACTTATGGTCGACCTACCAGGGGGTGGGGTTTTAGTCTCCTCACAAACAGCTCCAGTGCGCCCGCCAGTTAGCTAAGCAAGCAATGCCTCAGATTCACCAACATTGTGACCTTGATAACTACAAAAAAGATGTGTTATGAAAAAATTCACTCCCTTTACAGCAGGTAACCTTAGGAGCCCTTAAGCTAGTCAGACTAACAGCAATTTCTGAACCAGGCAGTAAACGTGTTATGTTTTTTCAAAAGTTGTCTTCTTGAATTGGTGTCTATGCGGTTCTCTGTGCTTCTGCAGCCAGCCTCTAGTGGGGACTCGAGGAACTGCAGTTTCCGGCACTTCTGCATTGGCCTTATTTCTAAAGATAAGAGGTTTCCGCTTATTTGTAACTAGATGAAACACTGCTGCATGATCTCCTCTTGGTGTCATTTAACATTTTCTATAGATTTATTAGAGGCTATTGATTTAAATTAACTCCTATGAAAAGATATCCCGACTGATACCTGATAAAAAAGATGTTTTAGTATAAATCAAATTAAATCTTAAAAATCTCATTTAGTGCTGGTCTGCCATTCTTCTTGTGGGGATTGTTGAGCAGCACTCTCTATTGACCAGCTCCCACTGCTCCACAGTGGTATTAATCTTTTAATCTAACACTCAACAAGAAAGATAATGAGCAAATATTCCTCACTGTCTAACAATTTCTTCAACTCAGTGGAGAAAAGAGGATTTTCAGAAAAATTAGGAGGTCTGTGTTTGAGCTCAGGTTTGCTTTTTCTAAAAGATGCTAAAACAAAGACTTAGGCAGCTGGAGCCAGGTCCATGTCACGCCATCAGATATTCAAAAAAAAAGACTTTATACAGAGGAATACTGCTGAGGAGCCATGTTTGCGAGTTGATTCTCACAATGGTACACTCTTTTACACTCATTCACTGCTCTGCTTATATAAGCTCAATTGTATTCTACACAGGGTTGCACTTTGCCATGATTTTAGTTTTCAAGTTGTATTAGGGTTTTTTTACCGTAGCAGGAAAAGGATGCTCTGAACTAAAGTCTATTTTTGTGTCTGTGTGGAGGGGGTTGACTTGCATTCAAGTAGAACTATATGAAAGTGAAGGACAGAGTTATGAATTATGTAGGAGTGAAGAAAATCCTGCTGACAACAAAAAACAGACTCCTCAAGCACAGCTATACTGCAGCAGCAGGGCTGCACAGACTCCACCAACTCCTCAGGAGGAAAAAAAGTAAGCAGACAAAAACTCATTTATAAATTAAAATGATAGTGTTTTATTCTTCTCTTATAAATGTTACACAGTATGAATGTGGAGCATCTAATACAACATTCAAAGCTCTCTCCCTGTTGTATCAAAATAGCAGATCCAAAGACAGAGGTGGGTTAAAAAGCAGCTTTTATGTCCCTCTCTGTCTTCATGATGCTGTGAAATCACCCGAGTGTGATCTGTATGTTTGTAATGTTGCATGCTGCAGGTTCGCCAGCAAAGGCATGACAACTCGCATTTAGGGGCTGAGCTTGTTTGTTGTCAGCTGCACACTGAGCTAAGGCAGGTCTCTGGCATGCTGCAGTCATCTCCGTAATTACACTGTCATTTCCTGCACGTGCAGCGCTCTGCTTAACCTCTGCAGCGCACCATGCGTCTAATCGGTTTCAAGAGAAGGACTTGTAATCAGCAAAGTGTGCACATGTACTGTAAATGTATAGAGGGACTGTGATCCGGTGCATGCCGTGAAAGCCTGCAGACACGGCTTTGAACCATTTATTTTCCACGCTATTCCATTACTGTTGAGGGACGAATATATTTGCTTGTTATCGTTAATTGTTCTCCCCGTGGTATTCAGTGCGGCCAATTATAATGTCTTGTGAGAGACGTTTCTATCTGCAAAAGGTCACATTGTTCCAATTCTTGCACATATTTATCAACCAGTCAGAGCTACAGCCCTCATAATAATCAGCCGCTAGGTGAGCCTCCTTCAATCAGATGCTGTGTGACATTTCTGACTCATATCAATATGTACTATGCAAATATGTTATATGATCTTTTTATATGTCGAACCTTTTGACGTGTAATTCTTGAACCGTACCTCTTTTATAATTGTTCATACATGTGTCGTGGAGCGTTAACAGGATTCATTTGCATGCGCGCTTTCGTATCAACCGGTATCAGGTTTAATTGCAGTCACAGAGGCAGGTCACCCACCTGACACAGCTAATCAGAGTGCGTCTTGTTTTAATGGTTCAAAACCTTCATAAGAGCCTTTTAAAAATAAAATCACAGCGACATGCCCCTCAAATGCCCCCTGCTCTTTCCCCTCGTCGCAAACAGACCACATCGTTATTATGCCTTTGTGCAAACCAGGCTGTTTTTTTTAAATGTTGTGTCTTTAAACCGCGTGGTGTCACAGCAAGCGGGGTGTAAGACGACAGAGGTCAAATAACGTGTTGTTCTGAGCTACTAATGCAGAGGTGTTTTGCCACAAACCTGCACCTTTTATTGGACACATGTAAGAGAGCAGGGAGATCAAATCAACAGCCCAAATAACAGGGACAGACAAAAAAGAAAAGTCCTGACACAGAAGGTTTGGAGGTAGTCTGGTGTTCCTTTTACAAAACAGGTTTGATGTAAGGCTAACTGGGATTGTTAAACACTCCCGTTTTTAACTGGCTGTAAAACAGACTGAAATTGATGTTGAGAGGTCTTCATGACCTGCAGCAGCAAACTAGACTCAAGTTGACAGGACTGACTTCTTTTCTTACTTTTTTAATATCTACAACAGCTGCCAAAGAGTTGTCAAACTTAGAGATTAGTATTATGCACCTTTTTAATGAGTGATGTGTGATCGTTAAAAAGAAAGCAAAATGAGATTTTAGTCAGAAAAATCCACCGATGCATGACCAGGACAGGGCAAGCAAAGAGTTAAGAGGTACTGCTGTGTCTGCAGGGGGCCCAAAATTGGCACAAGTTCCTCACAGGAGCCTTGATTGGCCGAAGAGGTTGCAGAGCACATGCTTTTTTTCCCCCATTTTTCCCTTTATAGAGTTAGTCCGGCCTTGGTATACTACACTGGCTCATCAGAGGAAGGCAGGTTGATGGGACTCATGCTTTTGGCCAACAAACAATTGGATAAAGGGCCAATGTCCAGCTCATCAAAATGAAAATGCTAATGCTTAACACCCAGATGGTAGAAGGTTTGAGGTAGGAGAGGGGCAGCAAATGTTACAGTGCTGGAGGCAATGCATAGGGTGATAGTAACCAAGATAGTAACCAAGCATTGTCCAATCACAACACAGCCCTGCCAGGTACTTTTTGCATGTCTTACTGTCTCCAAACACCAAGCGTGAGTGAAATCATTTGCGCGAATAAATTATATGCTAAGTAAATGCAAAGACATGATTAGACGCTCCTACAACTCTGGCAGCGCGAATGATGCGAATCGGGCGGGAGCTGAAAATGTCTCAACTTGAGCTGATATTCACGTTGCGATAACCGATCAGCACAAAGGTTGCCGGGTGAGGTATGAAAATGGATGGTTGTTCACCGATTAGAGCTGGGGCCAGGGGAGAGCTTGATTGGGCTACAACTTTATCCTCAGTATTTCATTGGCCCTTTATCCAACCAAAGAAGTTACCAACCAACATGAACCAACTTGTCCTACTTTCATTAACTTTTTAGCACTACCACCGACTTGTTCCACCAAAACCTCCAAAAGTACATGGATGATATCCTCTGTTAAAAAGACCTCCCTGAGTAGATAATAGGATTGTCAAACATTGAAATTGAACAAAAATACAATTTGTTTTTTATAACCTTTGTAAATTGAAAGCTGAATGAGAGTAGAAAAATAAAAATGAAGGCTACACTGTCATGGGGGTTGTAAGAGATTTGATTGGCTCTCTTAAAACCCTGACCTGCACATGACATTTGATGAAAAATCAGGGGGTTGGTGCATGAATCACTGTACCAAATTTCTTGGCAATTCATCAATAGTTCAGCTTCAGTAGGGATGAAATAAATGGACTGACTGACCCAGATTACCATCCCCAGAGACATCCAGACACTGAAGCTAAAAATATTACCAGGTATATGTTTGTTTGTTTGTTTGTTTGTTTGGCCACAGACCACATAGGAAGTACAAGTATGTCTGTGCCAAGAGCTGCAGCACATCAGCAGTCTGTCAGAGATACTTGTGCTGCTGTTTTTATTTCTGCAGCCGAATAACTCAGCCACAAACAGCCTGTGTTTCCACCAGGTAAGATGAGGTGAAGCTCTTAATTGCTTGTGTTCACACCACAGTTCAACACCTTATTTAGCATTTCAGCAATTTTCAACACCAGTTATAGCTCAGATCATTTCAGGTTCACATCAGAGCAGGTCTGTTAGCTTCAGTGAGACTCAATGCATGTTAGATTTGTTTACATCCTATCTGAGTAGTTGTTTGAGGACAGAGAGCTCTTCAACGCTGACGACAATCATCCATAATCCTGGGTCGTAAGTACAAGTGCATTTATTCAGCTGCTTCTCGTAGGCAGGCAAAGCAGCTCCATGCATGAGCTTTTGTTGTCCTGTTTAGTTTGGTAAGTAGATGGCCCGAGGCGGGAAGCAGGCTCCGTGTCTAGCTGTTGTCCGCTCGGTACGCCAAAGACAGAAACCCAATGGGAGCAGTTCAAGCTGGCAGCATGGGTCAGGAGATATTTTCTGCAGAACACAGGCTCTGAGAGCTGAGCGAGTGGGAGTATGCTGTCTGTGTATTTCATAAGATGGAGGCTGAGTCTGAGAGCTCATTCTGTCATTAGTTTGGAGGGTTAAAACGCTTTCAAAAGACACCCTGATGGTTAAATCACTGTGATCGGTGAGGGCTGGAGAAGCCATTACAACCAAGCCCAATAAAACCTGAGATGTTTTGCCTTCTTGCAGTGAGTCATGTGTTTCAGGGAGTCGCATTTACCCAAATAAACAACATTATTAAAGGTAATGTCAATTACAGATCATTATAATCAATCGACCTCATCTCAGGGCCACCTTAAAATCAAGTAGGTAGTCTGTGTCTTTTTCTCAGACCTGATAAAGCTTGAATAAAAGGCAGGGCTTTGACTGAATGAGGAGGTTGGGTAATAAATTGGAGAGACAATCTGCTTATCAATCTTTAAAGCTGGCAATACTTTCAGGAGCTCTGTCAGCCATTAACATTTTCAGGAGGCATTTTTAAGGAAGGGCCCCCCAGTTCTATCTGCTTTCCAAACCTCAATACGCACATTAATATGTGAGTTTTCAGCCGGTTATTTCTTGGTATTAACATTTGAACTTATCTCACCAAAAGGGGCATGAATTCACGGTTGGAAGCTAACAACACTATTATTTTTGTAGCGCATGAATTGCAGCTATTATTGCTTGGAAAGAGGCTAAGAATGACAGTTCAAGGGTGCCCTTTCAGAGGGTGAACTACACCCAATCAATTACTTACACCGGTGTGCTTATTTCATCTGGAATTTATTGCTCATAACAGTTTTCCTGCCCTTAACTCTACCTGCATGAATCTAACAAAGAGAAGACAAGCACAGCTCGAGCCCTGTGAGCCTCACTGTTTTAAAAAGTCAACCCAAAAACAAGGAAAAAGAGGGAATTATATTTATTAAAGCTCCTGTGAGGAGTTTTTGGACATTCATGAAGAAGCTTGAAACTCATATTGATGCTTTTCTTTCATATCCAGATGCAAACAAGACCACTGATGTGAGCTGAGCAGCTGGAGAAACAGCCCAATGTTTGCATAAAGCAGTCACAATAAATAAAACATTTGAAAGTCAAAAGTCAGCAGGATATGATAGTTCGATAGGAGATATTGTTCAAGCATGTAGAGGACAAGATAAACTTCTTTGTCCACAGGGGGCGCCAAAACTGTCACAAGTTGAAGGTTCCTCACAGGAGCTTTAAAACTCTTATGATTTAAGTTAATATTTGATGACACAATCTTGATGGTAAATGGACTCATGCTTATATAGTATTGCACTTTTCTTTTCTAACAACCTCTCAAAGTGCTTTTAAAGCACACGTCACATTCGTACCCTGATGGCTGATGGATGCTGTAGTAGGGAACCATCAGTTTGAACTAATTTATTCATACTCATTCATAATCAAAGCTCCTATGAGGAATCTGTAGGATGGTTTGAAGACTGAAAATAAAACTGATGCGGGCAAAAAGCACCAACAGAGGTGATTATTTCTGATTTTTGATGCCCGTCATTGCTGAAATTGAAGAGCTAGTTCACAAAAAAATCCCACAACGGGTCAGAAAACGTCTGAATAGACATGAAATGTAAGTTCCTCACAACAACTTTATATGTTTTCCAGGCTTTCCACAACAAGTGAAATATGAAAGCTGAAAAGTTTGCTTCTCTTTTTCCCCTTTTCAAAATTTCTGCTGCACAGAGCAAAACGCAGAAAGACCAGCTGCATCACCAACGTACATCAAGTTGCTGGCATCGTCTCCGCATCCCAAGCCAGCTCCCAGTCTGTTTGAAAGTCCTCTACTGGAGCAATGCCATCAAACATCCTAACACTCTCATTCTCCTCTAACTCTGCTGGCTTCATTGAAATGTGATACAAAGCAATCTCCAATTGATCTGCTGCTTTTAAAGAAACATTTATTTAGAGGATTAACGGCACAAAGGTGTATCTGCTGGCATCCTGGCAGCATTAAAGGCCGTAAACATTTTTTTTTAAATCGAAGTGAAGAAGAAAGTGCATCAGTACAAAGTCATCACAAAACTTAATTAGCGGCATTTGACATCCAGCTTATTTTATGGAGTGATGTCTGTCCTCTTAGATTTCTGATCATCAGTCTAAAGTTTGATTTTTCCACTGAAACACTTCTTGTTTTGATATTTTCACTCAATTCTCTTGTCATGGTTTAAATGACAGCAGCAGACGTCCTGTGATGAAGCCAATCAGCCTCGGGGTATTCTTCCCACTTGTGTGTTTTGTTTTTTTTGACACTTTGTTGTGATTTGAGAGTATGTTTTAATTAAGCGGATACCTTTAATGTTGAAAAATGAAGCCACTGTGCAAGTATAAAGACCTGCAGTGCCTTGAGTATTCACTTGAGGCCAAGAAGACCCCATTGGAGCCCGAATAATAGCCAAGTTTACAGCAGATTTTATTTCTCCTAATAGCTCATCTGCTGTGATCATATTAAAGCTGAGAGTTATGCAGCTTTGACTGACAGAGGGGCATGCTGTAATGGTTTGCCAGGGAGTTAGTTGAGGGAGCCAGTATTTCCAAAATGGCAGATATGATGCCAGGGCTTGAAAACACCTCATCACAGCCCAGTGGGTGACATCGGAGCCAGGTCGTAATGGTAACAGGCAAAGCAAGTTGCCCTAGACAACACTCTCCCCAGCAATGCTTCCTATTTCATCCTGGTGTAATTCAGGGCATTCCTATGCCAGACAGGACATATATTTCTGGGTCTCTCCTCCCAGTTGGGCGTGCCTGGAAGACCACCAGTTGGAGGCACCAGGGAGGCATCCTTATCACCTTGACTGGCTCCGTTCAGTGCAAGGGAGCACAGTTGTACTCTGTGCTTTGGGTCCTGTCTCTAAGGCTGAGGCCAGCCACCTTTTAGAGGAAGCTCATTTCAGCAGCCTGTTCCACATTCTCACTCTTTAGGTTACTACCTACAGCTCATGACCACAGGTGAGGGTTGAAACCATAGACTGCATATACTATGGACAACTTGGTTCCGCCTACCGCCTGTATACAGATTTGAAGCCAAATAGCTCTCGGTATTTCAGGGATTTTTGTTCATTTCCTGAAACCAGCGCTGCGCAGTAGCGATGCGCGCATTCAGGCGCACAGTCGCAGAGAGACGCTGTGATAACACTCGGCTCAGACAGCGTATCCCCCGGGTGAGCTACGCAATCCCTTAACGCCAATAGGCTGTATCAGGTGTCAATCATAGAAAACATGAACCCCCTAACAAATTTTAAAAATGGAGCTTTACAGAAAAAGAGGACTTGAGCACAAACCTGTAACTACATGTCAACACCGCAACCAGGGGGGAGAAAAATTTATGTTCTGTTTAATAAATTTCTAAAGTTTGTCCACAGTCCCACAAGCTTTGCTGGCGGAGGCAGGATTGATGACCTATACTGCAGCCCATCAACAGAGGGTGCTGTTCTCGGAGTGGCTTCACCCAGCATGGAGACAGACGCTGTCCATTCTATATACAGTCTATGGTTGAACCATAGACCAACAGGTATGACTTACTGAGATTTTGAGCATGTTTTAAACAGTCTATAATGTAAATCAGTGGCAGTGCATTTACAAAACCCAAGATGGACCCGGTCTGTTAAAGATGTAATGGCTGATATTCGCAGTTGTCCAAATTAGATCGAAGAGGACAAAGGCATTTGTGTTTGCTAAATAAAAAACAACAGCTTAAATAGACATAATTTAACTTGTTCATGTTTTGATCTGGCTTGCCTTAAAACAGTCATAAACTGGCGCTGATCCTGATTTTTGAAACTAAATAAAGCATTAGCATCAATACATGTCGTCAGCCACAGCTGATTGAGGTCAATGACTAGTGTAGTTTTGTCCTCTATGGTTGCAATGCTGTTTATTTTAATACCTAGCTAATCAGGTCCAAGCTCTTCAACTCTCAGCTTCCCTTGCAAAGATCTCTACGTGGACGGCATTCCTTGTATCTGAGTTTACTTTCTGCATTTTGTTGGTAGTGGTATGACCCCAGTCTTAAACTTTAACACAGATTCAAAAACTATTTTCAAGTACATATTTGGGCTTTTATGGAGAGTAAGCCAGTGGACAAAATAGGAAAGTGGCATCGCCGAGGCATTCTCACTTTGACCAGCTGCCTGTGATTTTATTACAATTAGACATGAAGTTATGAGAAATCTCTGCCAGCAGGTAATATTATTTTGTTTCCAAAAAATGTTCAAGGAATTAAGTTTGATACTATTGGTGTAATTTGCAATAAGAAATTTCTGGTTTATCACTTCAGGCTGGATCCATTTCCTGTCTAATATCCTAATTTAGTGATTCTTCTCAACACTTAACCAAGCTGTACATTCAAAAAGGAATTTCTGACCTGATTTCAGTCGGCCTCAAGACAATTCATTTAAATTATACTACTTGAGAGATGGTGCTTATTATAATTCATGTGTATTGAAGTAGGTTTGTCAAGCTGGCACCGAATGAAACAAAATGTTATTCAGTCCATACACTGTGTAAAATCTTATAAGCATAAATTCCAAGAATATTTCCCCAAAGGAGAGGATCTTTGAAAGAATTGTTATGCAGAATGCATAAGGTGAATACTGGAAGGGAAAAACCTGTTTAAGATGGAGCTCACATTCTGGGGAAAACATTATTTCTGTTCAGCGGCAAATAAAAACACAAACAAATCCAGAAGACAGCCAGATTTAGAAACTAACCTTCAGCACAGGCAGCAAGGAGAGAGATCCAGAGAAAAGCGCTTCTTTTCCTGTAACACATAATAAATACCTGCTGCGTTTGTATCCCAGGCACACATATATTACCGATGTTCACAATGCCAGGTCTTCGTACATCAAACGCAAACAGTCCTTAGAAAACAGTACGGGAGGACGGAGGTGTCTGCGGGCCGTGTTGGTAGTGAGACATGTCAGGATGCCTGCTAAGTATAGCCAGCACAAAGAAAGGAGTGATTATGCAATGAGCGGGGTAAAGCTGTTCCTCTGAGCCCAGATGCAGAGTATGTTGCTGTCTGTGCAAATAAACTCTGATAGGTAAGTGGGTCAAAATGATGGCAGTTCAAAACATTACCAGATTATCATTTTTGTCTGTTCCCACGGCTCTGCGATGATTACTGAGCAGGGTAACATATTGACTTTGAGATTCATGACTCTTGATTACTCGTATTAAGTCTCAAGGGTATGTAAACTAGTTACCCCATGTTATTGATATTACTATTGATGGCATCATGGAGGGTTTGCTGCGTATAGAAGTAGCAACACGCTTTAAATAACTCATGTTTTAGTTGCAAGGTTGACTCATGCCTTTGATGATACATGTCTCTGGGGGAAACACCACCTTGCACAAAATAAATCAGAATATAGAAGCAAAAGAAAATATTCTAGGCCAAGAGGAATAAATGCAAACCTTTATTTATTTCTTAAAGCTTAACTTGGGTGGCTCATTGGGAATTCAAAGCCAGAAATACTCAAAGGGAAATGATGCAGGAAAAAAGCCCTAACATCCACAGAGCTGCAGAAGGTTAAGATATATTACAAAAGAAACAAAAATGACTGCAGTATTTTAATCTCTTAGCCATTAGCTGGTAATTTTGTGCAATACTTTGCGATACATTCAAGGTAAGCAAACTGTTATTTTACCGCACAGACACAGCTTCATCTGTACTCCGTATTATATAAAGCGCCAAGGGAAATATAACAAATAACCTGCAGCGCGCAGTATAGCAACAGGATATTACATCTAAGGAAGCAGTTTGCTGACTCAGGGAACCTCCGAGGCGGACAGGCTCTCCTGCCTCACAAAAGCACAATTGATCCAGTCCAAGCACCAAAACTGCAAACGAGGTGCAGCAAGGACAATGCAGAGCACTTCATATCCGACGCCTTCATATAGATATGATCGCACACTTCCCTACCAGCCAATTTGTTTGCTAAATCACCTCATGTTAGCTCTGATATCCATTTGCATTTGCAAGTGCTAGTAATAAGAAATGTTCATATGTGGCGATTTTGATGACACCGGCCTTCCTTCTTTATTGTTTGGGTCCCACTGCTGGACGTTTTTATTAAAAAATTATACACTCAACAGTTTTCTTTGCCTCTTAATATTTTTCCTTTCTGTCTGACCTCATTTAAACCCACTATGCAGAAAAATAGCCTGTTGCCTAGATTGGGTTTGCATTCTTATTGCATGAAAAAGCTTGGTTGGAAAGTACTATTACTACAATATTACGCCAAACAAGAAAATTCACTTTGTTTCATATGTTGAACAACATGTGATTGAACAAATGTAGATAATTTGTCCAACAGAAGGACAGAAAGGAAATTATGAGTCTATTTACACTCCTACCTTGAGGTGGAGGACAGCTGCAGACGCTGCGTGAAGCATAAGCACCCAAAGCTGCAGCATCTCATCAGTAAAAGATGAGAGAAATCTATTTGGGTACTTTCGCCCCCTTTTGGTTGAAGGCAGTCAGGGGTGTAGCACCAAATTCTTAATTCATTGTTTATTTATTTTTTTATTTTTGGAAAAACAAATACATCTATACAACATCATAAAATTCAAGAGCTGTGAAAACAACAGCCGCAACTTCAGGCGTGGCAGTCTGAGCAGTGACGTCACAACGGTGCGCCATGTAGTGTCCGAAACCTGTGGTGATTGAGCTCACTACATAGTCAGCTATATAGTGAAACCCCTTATGAGGGTTAGGGATTGAGTGATTTATTTCAGACACAGCCATGGACTGGATGAAACATGGAAAGAATGAGACCTCTCTGAAGTGAAACCTTTACTCCTACAGGTCCTTAACTGATGCAAGGTGGGTCATGAAGTTAACAACCTTCATTAAAACAGAATTGTTAGACAATCAAACATTGTCTCCTGTCTTTTTCTCTGTCTAAGCGTCTCTTTCTTAACATGCTGATTTCTGTGCAGGTTTAAGTTTCGTTCTCATTATTATTTGTGTGTGTGTTGTTTTTTTCAGGGTGATTGATTCACAGTCCTGTTGACAACCCTGCTGTCCAGGTTGCGTGCCATCTTGGACATTGTCTCTCAGCCTCTCTAGCACTTGCTGATGAGGCACAGGAGCACAGTCGGTGCTCGGCTTATTCTCTGGAGATGCACCACCGAACGCCACGGGAAGTCATTTTTGCCTGTGGCCATCAGACTCTACAACACGTCTCTCTGAGTGTCTGGCACTCTGTCTGACCCTGGACTATTTTACCACCAGCAGCTATAAACTATTAGCACCTTGCCTCAACACTTAAATCTAAACAGGACAATTATCTGTGTAGTAAAACTCTCAGCAGTGATTTAACCCTACAACATACTGCTTTAATTAGGGCATTTATACTTCAAAAAACAACCCTATCACCCGACTAAATACACATTTACATTTCTTTACATATGCCTATTTTTTATTTATTGCTGCATATCTCCCTTCTTTTTGTCAGTATGTCACTTATATGAACAAATTGTTTATATAACTGACACATTTTACATTGCTCCCTCATACGTATCTCATGTTTTACACCCTCAAGCTTACATCTTTGTGTTTATTTTCTGTATCAGAGAAACTGTACCGCCTAAATTCTTCTCGAGGGACTGATGAAGTTAACCTGATTCTGATCCTGAGCTTTATTTGCAGAGTAGAGGAGGAAGAGCTAGAGGAGACACAACGAACGCCAATGCAAGAGTCTTTGAGATTTCCACAGCTGTAAGTGTCTGCTTCAGACAAACAGAAGAACTTCCTCAGCTGTGGACTGTGGACCGGAGGACTCGTAAGTGTTTTCTCTGTGAGTTAAATGTGTGTTTTGGTTAGCAGAACAGGTGTGATGGTAACTATATCACTTCTGGAGTGCCCTAGCTCCACCAACGCAATATTGAGGCGTAACTATGGTTTCATGTATCTAAATAGTGGAAATGAAGGCATGTAATATACAGTCAATTTTTGGCACTAAAACCGAGGAACACTTAATTTGATGCTAATGTAAAGCTAGCTACAGCAACAAGAGGCTAAAACTGCAATCGTGATAGTCAGTGTGGTCTGAAATATTGAAGTAGTTGTTGTTCCTCATCTATCAGCTCCAACTTCAACATGTATTGTGTGAAAAAAGCTCTTGGAACAATGGCACTGGAGCTCTATAACCAACTAGCATAGTAGACTTACCTCTGTGTTGGTTAAATTTCAGAAGTGATATTGGCGACTCTGATGAATGGGAAGTTTGATCCCCAATTTATCCGATTTTTTAAAATCAAAAAACACTTACCAATACAAATTCGGTGGGCCATTACTAGTTTCTCTGTAAAAACGTAGCCAACGTTATGATAATTTCATTTTAAGTTAACATATTGAGATAATTGTATGTGATACAAGGTAAACATACTTATACGTATTATATTCCATCTTACCAAGTTTGTGCTAAATGCAACTAAAAATTGCACACTGTACCTTGAAGATCGGAACTCAAGCTGTCATTATCGTCAAGTAGCCACTTCAAGTGTTGTGAAACAAGTGGGACTGCAGTTCCCCTAGTGTCCACTTGAGGCTGATCCAAAAGCTCAAAAAACTCCATTAACACCCATGTTGAAATTTTTCATTGGATAACAGACGACAAAGTAATTTTCTCAGGTGGTGAAACTGATTGAATTTAATACTCATGGTTCTTCATGATTTATAAAAGCAAACCCTACTACCAGTATTTATTTTTTAATGCCTGAAACCTCTGTGAGGGGGCGCCGAAGTCATACCAAAAGTTCCTTACAGGAGCTTTAAACCTGGTTTAAAATTCTGTTTTGGTCTGAATAGCTCATTTCTTTTTGTACTTGGGTGAATAGTTTTACAACTTATTTGTTTTCAAAATATGAGAGGCTACAATTTTATCATAATCAGAGTCAGGAGGCTCGAGGTATGAGTCATCTCTGCCTCTTAGCTTTGATTGACTCAGCGTGATTAATATTGTGACTTCCACAGCTGCCATCCACAAAGTGACGCTTGACGTCACGTAGACTATGCCCATGTTTACTACAGTCTATGATTATATTTAGATCACATTTCCCCTAATGCTCACTTTTGGACATCATGTTATCTCACAGTTTGTCCCCTGCTGGACGCAGAGTGATGAGTCAGCAATAGAAACCAAAATAGCAGTCGTTTTATCTTGGCTGTATAATTTTTGTGCTGTCGTTACCCATCAAAAAGAGAAACCACGCTTATGGCCTCTTAGAGTGTTGACCCCTCAGGTGTCACTGGGTACAAAAACTCTCTGTCCAACTTGATTCATGTCCCGTCCTCTCTGAGTCACGGCTACTCCCCATCCAATTACCATCCCATAATATATCAAGGGAATTGCAGCCAGTCGAAAAAAAAATCTGGAGTGACTTGAAGACACCTGTGGGTAATGGACAGTGGTGGCGTTTGGTCTGGATCACACCACAAATGTAATGATTCAGTCAGAGGAGGGCCGGGCTGACTGATAACTGGGTCAAAGAGAGGATGTGCTTGATCCTCTCTCGCTGATCCTATAGCTACACCTCGGCTTCAATTATTTTTTTCTTCCTTTTAATAGAAAAGCAGGAAAGGAAATCCATTTAATCAGTAACAAGGAAAAAAAATGATATTCATCAACTCAAAGCTATCAGAAAGTGTTCTCCCTGCTAATGGGTTACTTGAATTAATACTCATAAGAGAATCTGAATTGGAATTGCTGAGTTGGATGTGCAGGTCAGGATAAATGTGTCAGTGATAATTGCTCATGGAGGGCATTAAAGATATATGACACTTCAAAGGTGGACTTCATTTAGGGCTTGTACATCCGAGCGGAGCCGTTATG